GTTAGTTATATTCACATTAGTTAGTTACTTGATCAAGAGGCACAAATACTCTGTTTTAAGGTTGTGTCTTTTAGATTAAGAGTTGTGTCTTTTAGATTAAGAGTTGTGTTCTTTCATTTACACATCACATCTGTTCGGTTTGTTTAAATACTCTAGAACGTGTGATTGTTAAACATCATTACTCGAGTTGTAATACTTTTTCAAGTTATCAATAAAGATCAAGTTACAACCATTGTTCTTACTATGTTTTCTCATTCCTTCAAAACACTAACAGAGAAATCATCTATAATTTAATTTGTATAATTATATATTGTCGGTTTAATTAGGGCATTCTTAATTATTTCCATTTAATTTATATATCTTTTCAGAAGAAAAATTATCGCCTAATTTTAATCCTTATCCAAAGTGAATTTGGAGACCCTGATGGACCTCTCTATAAATAAACGAGAGAATGCAGCAACCGATCATCAGAACACAGAGACAAAAACACTTTTTAACTTAGTCTTTGCCAAATCAATCAATAAGGCTTGGGTTTACGATATGGAGAGCATCTCGAGTACATGGATTCTTAACAATGAATCTAAGACGCACGTCGTCAATTCCAAAATTTCAGGATCCTTCTCAATAAGTATCCGAGTAGTTGAGCGGACTCTTGTCCGGAGTCCTAGCGGTCATGAATTTCTGGCTAAACAAAAACTCGTAGCGGAGAGAAACGAAGCAGCAGTAGAAATCCCATATATTTTCCTTGCTGGGGAAGAAATATGCAGAGGATATATTGCTAACGTCTTTACCAAGGCAAAGTTCGAGGGCTGGACTCAACACCTCATCGTTCCTAAAATCAGCAGAGACGCGATTAGTATGAGCCGCCGCCTTGGAGAAAAAGGGATAAAAGGCTTCCTGCTTGAAGCTGACGTTGAAATTGTTCAAGAAAGATGGCTGGATAACTGGTTAAACCCCAGAGATTATGACTCTCAAGATCGTCTAATACCAGTAGAGCAAGACTGCACAATCTGTCTAGAAGAGTTATCATTAGGTGGTCAAACGAAGATCATGAAATTGTGTTGTTCCCACAATTTTCACAGGGATTGTATTCTGACGTGGCTGAAGCGCAAGCATTCATGCCCAACTTGTCGTGACGATGTCCAGAATCCCCGACCGCAAAAAGAAGTGGAAAGTTTGATGTTTTGTTGAAAAAACAAATGTAATGGTTTTCTTTTATTCTGCTTTTGAGGAAATTACTTGTAAAAGGATCTCAGTGTGAGCTTTAATAAGTAAATGTCTAGTTAATAAGCTCTTTTATGAGTTGTATTTTTAGTCGATCCTTTCCATCAGAACTTGGTATCGAAGAACGATCAATTAAAATGAATCTTGCTCCCGAATCACGACCCGGCCCTGTTATAATGCAAACAAAATATTATTGTGCTTTAGGCCACAATTGTATATACTTAATCTAAAGGCTTATCGTGGTTTAAGCAACTCTCTCGTTAATCGTATTGGCTCATCTAAGAGATCGACACTTTCCTTCCTTAATAGTCCTTTTGTATACATTGACAGTGTAGCTCCTAAGGCATTAGCCAATGCTTTTCTATAACAGCAAGAAAATAAATTTATATCTAAAGACCAATTGTGTCAATAGTTTTGGAAAGCTTCTGTGAATCAAATATAGGTGAATGGTAATCAGTGTTGACTTTTTTATTGTTCACATAATTATAAACTAAACACTATCTATGTTTCATCTAATAGCTAGCGAAGAACTAATCCACGAAAGTTGTTAAGGGATGTAATAAGACATGAAGATCTATTTGCTACATAATAAACCCACAAGACAGAATTAGAGTGATAAGATCCCAAACAAAGCAATAAGAACACAAGAATTAGGCAATTCACAGATTTATATAGACTTAGCAAAAAATAAATGACTTGGTCGAAAAGACTTAGTCCAAATTCTTGGGAGGCTTGTTTATTTTCTTTAACCTTATCATAGAGTGCAATACAACAAAGAAACATACTGAAAAATTGTATATGTTAAGAGTGATCCTGGGAAGGAGAACCACATCTTACCATCGAGTTTAAGGAATCCGGCCCCAAGAGTGGCGACATTTTATGCCAAAAAGAAATTTATTTAATAAAAAAAAAACAAGATCTAACTAAATCAACAGTGTGGAAGCTCCCTTGGTCCATTGGTTGACCAATGGTTAATTAATGCTTCTACACCAAGAGGTCTGGGGTTCGAGTCCCAGATATTGCGATTTATTAATAAATTTGCAGATTAAAGGAGGCAAGTGTGTAAGAGATCTCCAGTGAAGTACAATTATAGCCGTTCGCCAGGATTCTACGCAGAGAGAGAAATGTCGTCAGGTCGTGGATCATTGAAGGTGTCCGTCAAGAGCATGGAGAAGGAAGTGTCGTCTGTCGTGGATCTAATAAATGTTGGAAGGAATTGTCCGTTGTAGAATCGTCTATGTAACAGTTATCATAATTTGCAATAAATAATAAATTTAGACGTCAAAAAAAAAAAAACTAAATCAACAGCAACAAATCAGTCACGGCGCTAATTTAGTAAGTTCTTTTAACTTTACCTAAACAAAGAAATCTAAAACTACTGTTAAGAACAAAAATAAAAAATAGTACGGTTCCGGTTTTGTCTTCTTAACCAGGTCATAACCGTGATCGGGTCAAATCCCATCCTAAACAGAAGAAGATTTAGTAGGATCAAAGATTTGACCAACAAACAAAACAGTTCCGGTTTTGTCTTCTCTAATCATGAAAAGAAATGGATGATCAGCCACAAAATTCATCTTCCTGTAGCAGCCAAAGCCTCTGCTAGATATAAAACGAGTAATAGCCATAGCTTTTGAACCATCTTCATCGATCTCGACCCAAGCTTTATGATACAATGAAACCGAAACAAGTTCCAGAAGTTCCGGTTTATCGAAAGCACTTGAAACCTCAAACCCGAATTCGATCTTAAACTTTGGGATTCTGAATTCACCAACTTCACGTTTATATTCTGGAATGTGACTTTCCAAGAATCCAGGAGTGGATGCCATTCTCTTCAAGAGATCATTCAATCCATCCTTCTTGTCGGGAAGGTAGAAATACATTGAGAATCGGCGATTGGTATCACCGCATTGTCGGAAAGGGAGCCCTAGGACCTTGAAACCGTCGTAATCCGTAATATATTGCTTATCAGAGCTGTGCATGAAAGGCACAGAGACTGAGGTGCCATTGAGAAGGTGAAACTCTTTGTCTCTTGTCAAAGACTTATTGAATTTGTTTTGCCAAGCTCCTTTGAAGTACAATGTGTTTCCATAAATACATTCGGTGTCGCTTGAAACCGATCCGGGAGGAAGAAGATTCTTGATGAGGCCATTGGTGTGTTTTGAACCCCAAGAATTTGCCTCCATACGCGCTTGTTCACCCTGTTTTTCAAGTCCCACCAAAACAAAGCTAATTTCAGGAATCTATGTGCAGAAAGATAGAGAAATCGTTGAAATTAAAACCTAACCAACCTTGAATCGGAAATCAACTTGAGCGAAAGCAGCTTTGAAGAAATTCTCAAAGAGATCTTTCATTGAGGGATCAACAGGTAGCGATTGCTCCATCCACACTCCATTAACCGCTGCGATTTTTGGTCCACCACTTTCGCTTCCGCCGACGAGGACGAGAGAAGCGACTTCGCGAAAAACTGCGTTGAGCTCATCGGTTGAGGAAGATTTAAGGAAGGAGAGGATGAAAGATCTTAGTTATTCTTCGTTGGAGGTAGCAGCAACCATGGTGAGTAAGGCGTTGATTGATGCAGGAGAGAAGACAAAATTAGAGTTTTTGGCTACAACAGAGATTACTTTCTCCGCAAGGAACATAGCCACATCGTTCTGCTTCTTCATCGCTTCTCCCACATCAATATTCGATAGAGAGGGACTTGTGATTACCAAATCCGTATTCTTTGACAGAGAGGGACTTGCGGTTTCTGATGTGCTTAGGGAGGTTGTTAGCTGAATATTAGGTATTAAAGTGATTTAAATTAAATAGTTAATACCTTAATAAGCTAAGGAACGTTCCTTAGCTAAGATTAATTTTGAGGGTTAAGAGGTGCCACGTGTCACGTTTTGATTGGGCGGATTTCACATATTCTACAGATACGTCTTCTAATTTCTTCGATAATAGAGCTCGAGTTCGTGATCGAGGTATGCATCAACAATTGAAGAATGATTTGGTCAAGCATATATGGACAAAATATAGAAGAAATTAAGTTTAAAATATTTGTGATTTATGTTATAAATTGTATCTCATGTATGTTTTAATTTTTGTAATTTGCAACAATTATTAAATTTTCTATAATTATAAATTTTATTTTTATATTAATATTTTTTTCTAAGAACCACATGTTAAGAGCCTACCATTAATCACACAAAAATCTTAACTCAAAAATACTATCTCTTAACAATCACTTTTACAAATAAATTATTTAAATATTACTAAGATCTATCTCTAAGAAACTACCTATAATGATGCTCTTAGCTTTTGTTTCTGCTCTTTTGGATTCATCTTTTAAGTTTTCTGTTTATTGCTTCATATGCTCATATATATAGAGGACTAGAGGAGATATAAGATCGAGATATAACTAGGGTTTGGTGTATTGTCCTATTAAGAAGAAAAAAGGAAGAAAATGTCATATATTTAATTCGTTGCTTGTTACGCAAGTTTGCTTAATATTTTGGGTCTGAAATTATAGTCAATAGCAGGTCGAAGAATCTTAGCCCATGATTAGAATTCACAAAACTTCTGTTTCTTACAAATATATAAAATTTAAAATTATATCAAGACCAAAAATATAACTTTTATGAAGCATTTAAAAATATAAGTACCAATTGTATGATCTTTACCCACAAAATTTAACTTTTGGGAAGCACTTAAAAATATAAATATCAAACTTTATTAATCAAATTCGTAATTAAAAAAAACATCAAAACCAACTTAATGAATAAAACGATCCGCTCTGAACCAAATCTTCTTCTTAGACATCAATTCAGTGAACCTTACATAAACCTAGCTAAATTAAAATTTCCCATATCTCCTAGACTGAAACCAATTTTTGGCTTTCTAAATATAATTGCTTATATTAGAACGTTTGACCAAAAAAAAAAAATGCTCAAATTAGAACAAGAACTAAACTCAAAACTACAGGGCATAAATTTGACTTCTTTCCCAGATCAATTAAGATCAGAACCCGGTTAAACCTGATCTGAGCCCGTTTAGGAAGATTTCTTCGAAGGATCAAAGATTTGACCAGCAAACAAAATAGTTCCGGTTCTGTCTTCTCTAATCAAGAAGAGAAATGGATGATCAGCCACAAAATTGATTTTAAGACCAGGAGAATAGCTCACCAGCCTAAAAGCAGTGGCAGCAGCAGCTGTTGCACCTTCTTCATCAATCTCGACACAAGCTTTATGGTACATTGAAACCTCTCCCTTGGAAGCATCAAACATGAAAGATATCTTAAACTTTGGAATTCTGAAATCACTAACTTCAACTTTGTGACTTGGAATGTGATTATCCACGAATCCAGGAGTAGATGTCATTTTCCTCACGAGCATATCCAATCCATCTTTCTTGTCGGGCAGATAGAAATACATAGAGTATTCACGATTGATATCATCATCGCTTTGTCGGTATGGGAGCCTGAGGACCTTGAAACCATTGTAAGCCTTAACGTATTGGTCCACTTTGTTGCTCATAAATGGCACAGACACTGACGCACCATCGAGAAGGTGAAACTCTTTGTTTGTTGTACGCGACTTATGAAATGGTATAGCCCAAGCTCCTTTAAAATACAATGCGTTTCCATAAACCTGAATGGTTTCCCTATTAATGGATTCAGGAGGAAGAAGGTCTTTGATGAGACCATTGGTCTGATCTGAAGCCCATTTATTCACCTCACAACGCACTTCTTCAGCCTTCATAACAATAAAACATGTTAGTAAAATTCAATCAATTGCACATATTCCAGAGTGTTTTTGTTTTTTTTGAAGCATGAATTATTTAAATTGATATTAGTGAGTCATTGGAACACTATGTTTCTATATATGAGTTCAAATTTCAAATATCTCTAGCACTAATATGATTTATGATATTTAAATTCGCTTACAAAAGATATCAACATGGATGATCCTTAATTGTATCATTATATGGTTTTAAGGTTTCTTTAGGGTTTTGGGATTTGTTATAGACTTATGGTTAAATAGTTTATATTCATTAAATCTGTAAACCCTAACTAAGAAACCAAACCATATGATCATGTTAACTTTCATGAATATATTACCTTGAATAGGAAATCAACTTGAGCGAAAGTAGCCTTGAAAGATTTCTCCATGAGATCCTTTAACGAATGATCAGTTGGGAGTGATTGCTCCACCCAAATGCCGTTAATTGCCGAGATTTTTGGGCCACCGCTCGCGCTGCCGTCAGCAAAAACGACGGTAGCGATCTCGCTGAAGACTGCTTTAAGCTCGTCGGAGATAGAGCGGGAGCCCGCAGCCATCATTGTGTAGGCGGAGTTGATTGATGCCGGAGAGAAGATGAAGTTAGAGTTTCTTGCTTCTGAAGCTATTACTTTACCCGTAAGGAGCAAATCGCCGTCGTTTCGCATCTTCATTGCTTCTCGCAGATCAATCTTTGACAGAGAGGGACTTGCGGTTACATGTGATTTGCTGAATTGTTGCGTTTTCTTCGGTTTTGGATCCATCATTAGGAGAGAAGGATCTGCTGTTTTAGACGATGTGCTAAGTTTTTGTATCGTCTTCTTTGAATTTATCCTTGAAAGAAAGGAACTTACGATTGCGAATCGTCGAGCTATCATCTTTTTAAGTTTTCCGTATATTTCTTCTGAGCTATCATGTGTTTGTATACATGTATATATAGAGAAGATATAAGATACCTACCAAGATAGAGAACTAGGGTTTTGCGAATTATTGACCTATCATTGTTAAGTTTCCAAACAAAACACCGTGCCGTTTTTTCCAAGTGACGAGGAACATTAGGATTTTCATATAAATGTTTTAACAAAAAAACGACATAAAGTGTATCTCACAGAGAATAATACAGAAGTACCCCTTGCTAGAGTGATCCAGAGCAGAAGAAGAAGAAGACAGTTTGATAAGTTCAGCTGATCAAGCAAGTGTCTTGAACCAAGAAACATGGAACACACAAAGCAGAGTTTATTGGATTTTTCTTCAGCCTTTTCCACCCTAAAAGAGAAAACAAAACAATGAGATGCGTAAGAAGAAGAAGGCGCTAATAGAACTGAGTATAACTGTATCATTCGATGCTTTAAAGAATCTCACCTTGCGAGGCGGGGTTCCTCGCCTTCCTGCATTTTTGCCAAATCCGAAATTTCCTTTCTTCTCAGATGCTTTAAGGATCTGAAATGAGCACGTCAATGAATCATCCACACTCATCATTGCTCCTGCGTTATCAAACTCTCCGCAGTAGTTTGGGGCCGAGAATATCGTTACTAGCTGTCTATTTGCAAAGAATTCATACCCGTCTTCCACAACCTAAAGCAAAAAACAATCAACTTCAATGAGGTTAAAAGAGAGAAATCATAAGTATTCTTCCATTATTAGTGAGCCATCAGCTTGAGTAGCCCTATGATGAGAAGTTAACAAAGGAGACGTGCCACAGATACATGTCTAAAACGGTTTTTCTCAAGCAAAATATTACCTGATGAGCTCTGCAAATTAAGTCAAGGTCATGTGTTTGGAGAAACTCCTCGACTTTATCAGGCCCAAAAGTGTAAGAGACGCCCCTGTCATTCTCTCCCCATCCTTCAATGTCCTTGTCAGGATCAGACCACAAGAGATCACAGAGTAGTCCATGATCAGGAATGTCAGCAGGACGAGCAATGTTCCTGATCTCATCCAAGTGCTTCAACTCAGGGGATAGCCCACCATGCATACAGAGGATCTTTTCATCGATAAGAGCAGCAACAGGGAGACAATTAAAGCAGTCAGTAAATATCTTCCAGACTCGAACGCTATATCTCTTCTTGCACTCGTCATAGAATCCGTATATACGGTTTATATTAGCACACTCATGGTTCCCCCGTAGAAGAAAGAAATTCTCTTTGTATTTGATCTTGTAAGCAAGGAGAAGGCATATGGTCTCTACACTCTGCTTTCCACGATCTACATAATCCCCAAGAAACAAATAGTTTGCAGCTGGTGGGTAGCCACCGTACTCGAACAATCTCAAAAGATCTGAGAACTGACCATGAGTATCTCCTGTTAAAACATGAAACCAACCCCCATTATAAAAGTGCTATTTCACCAAAATGATACAAAATGTGCACAGAACAATACAGTATCAGCTCTGAATCTCTGATATGGAGACAAAAGAACACATTAACCGAAATTAAAGATCGATACAATGACCAGTGATTATTTCTAGCTTCATTTAGTATCTCACTGATGATAACTGACCAAGTAAACAACAGATTCATATGCATTTATACAAATCTCTCCTATCGAAGAAACACGAGTTTGACCAATATGATTCATAAGCATTTCTCTAAATTTCAACAACTCTAATTAGCTAATCAATCTCTAGTTCCATGTATAATCAAACATAAATTCTCGTAGAAAGGAAATTTTGAAGAGGAGAGAACAAAATTGTTAGGGTTGGTGGTTGAAAATACCACAAATCTTAATAGGAGCCTCGAGTTCAAGAAGATTAGGTTGAGTGAGAAAGATCTGCTTAGCGGTAGAACAAAGATGTTTAATCTCAGCCTCCGTCAACTGAACCTGCTTCGTCGTCTTCCCGTTTTTCGCTCCCAGTAACCTCTTTATAACATCATCCACCACACTATCTTCCATCAAAATCAATCAATCACTACTAAACCGAACAAAAACCCCCCTCGAATTCGATACACCGGAGCGATGAGATAAGAGTTTATTTTGTTCTCCGACCTCTAGTTATGGAACGCCGTCTCCGATCAAGGTGGATCAAAATCACTTTCCTCTTCGTAGAGAAGAGAAGGTTTGTGGTTTGTGAAGGTAAGAAGAAGACGGAGGAGCCCTAGACAGAGAGAATCGGCTAGAGAACGGGGAAGGAGAGAAAAGGAAAGCACACGTGCGGCTCGTGTGAACCGGAAGGGACGGCTTTGTCTTTTGACCAAACTTATTTTTTCTACATTTTTATTTTTATTTTTGTCAAATGGGACTCGAGTATTGAAAACTATACTTTAATATTTCTATTCTTTTCATGTTTTGAAATACGAATAATTTGATCAAAATTGATGCTTCATTTTTTGTAGAATCTTTTTGCTTAGACTAGTCATCGATACGTCTCTTCAACGTGTCCAAACGTAGATTTATATTATTATGTTTTTCTCTTCTTCATATATTTTTTGCGTATTGTGTAATTTAGTTGTTTAGATAATTTATAAAAACGTAATGAAGACTATGCCAACGCTTATCCATATGAGTCATGACAACCATATTCCACAAACGCATATGTGCAAGCCAAATATAGATCCAAATCGCCTATTGGCCCAAAAAATTGTTTTTCTTCTTCTAGGCCCAATTGCTAATCTAATATACCTAAAGGGTTTATTTTACGTTTAAGACAAAACTGGATTATTGTTGTTATATTTCATTTTGTTCAACAAAAAAGTTCTAAGCGTTAGACTCATGAATCATAATTTCTTGGGTTTGGGAACCAGACCAACTGTTGGTAATACATGTTTTATTGATAAAGAACATTTTGAGAAAATTTATTATTTTAATAATAAATGTTGTTTTATTGGTAAGTTTCCATAATTTAAAATGGTATGAAAACTACTTTTGTTGTAAAACTAACGTTTTTTTCCGTCTAAAAAATTTATTGGTGATAAAAGTTGGAATTATACACAACGGTAAAAAAATAAATCTTTTTGAAAATAAAGGCGACAAATACATAAAATCTTCAAAGATTTAGAGACAGAGGCCAAAAAAGCGGATATAAAATACAAAAAAACTTAAAGCACATGTAATTGGCAAATACCACAAATTTAAAAGTAAAACAACTACAAAATAAAAATTCTTCATCAAAAACATTCAACGAACGTTTCCAGAGAACAATTTGATGCTGGAGAAAAGTTTCCAACATAAACTTCTAAAAAATACAACATTAGATTATTTTTAACAGAAAAAAAAAAACCAAAAAATATATTAAATCGTGCTCATATAACCACAATCCCAGTAGAAACGAACACGGAAATTAGTTAAATTAATTTAACTATAAAAAACTAACGTCTATAATATACTAACTTTAAACACAAAATCATCACTATAAAAAACTAACGTCTATAATATATAATCATCACTACCTGTAAAAAACTAACGTCTATAATATACTAACTTTAAACACAAAATCATCACTATAAAAAACTAACGTCTATAATATATAATCATCACTACCTGTAAAAAACTAACGTCTATAATATACTAACTTTAAACACAAAATCAAAGCCTTTGACAATATTGCGAAGTTACTGCTTTTTCCTTTTCTTTTTGTCAATGTGACTTGTTCAAGAAGACTTTGAAGCAAATTGGTTAAATCAAAAAAGTTGATAAAAATATATGTTAACGGAACCCACACAATCTAACGGCGTTCATATTTCAGATAAGGGGCAATTTCGTCAAAAACAAAAATTTACTCCCGACACCCCCCGCTCCAAGCAAACACCTGAGAATCCTCCAGTGGCATTTCTGGAAACTCACAGTAACCCAAGTGAAAGTTTCACTTGAACACGTGTCACTCCATTAACCAGCTAGATCATAAAAATCATCAGTCAACATCCAACGGCTCTAAATAACTCCGTTTCGCAATAATGTAATAGCCACGTCAGACTAACCGGTACAGACGAGCTCACCGGAACAATCTCACCGTCGACGGCTTATCTAAAGTTAATTTCCCGAAAACTATAAATACTCATCTTTTTTCTCCTCTCTCATTTTCTTGCCCTAGATTAAAATCCCTCGATTCACGCAGCCGCACCATTGCGTTTTCTCTCTTCTTCTCCTTCCTTCATAGAGCAAAAAAACCCAAATCAATCTCACTCTTTTAGCTCACTTTTCTCCAGAAATTTCTAAGATTTAGCTCGATCGAAGCTTTTAACTATCTGGGTTTGCTTTAAAAGGAGATGATGAGTTCGTATCGCAGCTTACACGGCTGCGATTTGGGTTTGTGATGGATGGTTTGAAGATTTCTTGTCCTGTGGATGTTTCGTTGCCGGCTAAGCTTATGGGATCTGAAGGGTGTGGTGGTGGAGTTAGGGTTTCGTCCAATAAAGCAGATAACAACTGTGAGAAAGCTCGTGTCTCGATTGGTGTTAATTCTTCAATTGAGCGTTGTAGTGCTTCAATCAACAAGAAAGGTGAGCTAATTACTACTTCTTTGATTTGGGGATTTGAAAGTATTCTTCTTTAGACTGAGTTCAGTTTATAGTTGTAGATCCAAATGTGTGTTTTTGTTCTTGGTGAGTTTGGTAAATTTGCAAACTTATTCAAGATTTGGTTGGATACTTTTTGATTTAGTCTTTTACTTGATTCAGGAGCAGGAAGTAGCGGTGGGGGGTCGGATTCATCGTTATGGCGCAAGTTAATGCATTCACACGACTTTGTTCATGATAGGCTTACCAAGCTTCGGGTTGATAATTCGTCAGAGCCTCAAAATGGTTATTCACCGATTGCTAGTCCAGAAAGTGCGGAGTCTCCTAGGAAAAGAGGAAAACTTTCGAGAAGTAGTAGTAATGGGACTCCTAGAAGGACGAAATTGATCCTTTTAGATGAAACGGTGAGCATACCGAGAGATAACGACACCAAGGAGATATGTGGGCAAGGATCTACTAGTTGCTTAGGTAACTCTCATTCCAATGAGAACTCTCATGTGATTTCTTTGTCTGAAATTATGCAGTCATTTAGTCAGTAGCAGGATATTTTAAAAGAGTGTGTAATATGTTGGTGAAAGTTTAATGGTTCACCCTCTGAAAAAAGTGTCTTTGTTGATTGCTAAACAGATAAACCATTTGTGGTGAAGCAACGGACCAGTTGTAACGGCAAGCGAGGTGATAAGAGGATTTCCAAAGTTCCCGTGAGAACTTTTTCAACCATCACTTCAGCCACTGGCGAGAATGCATTTTTCGGTATGTGACTGCTTCTTAATTAGTCTCGTCCTGTGGTATCCAATAGTGTAATCTACTTCAACGATTGACTCCTCAACCTGGTCCATTTACTTTGGCTAGTTATTATATTTTCTTGTATACTTTCAGTTCTATAGATTGCGTCGTCTGAACTTTGAAGTGATTTACAAGTGAACCTGTTCTGAGGTAGCTTTAGAGGTCCCCTCGGTCACTTGTTGTGATTTTTAGTTTATTTTCTTTGAATCCTCCCTGACATCACATTGAAAAGGTTTCATTGGCTGATATATTCTTTGCATCGCTAAGGTACCAAAGCGACAATGTAAGAGTCATAGCACCAGTACATATCACTACTATTTCATTAAAATGCGACCTTGTTGATATGGCAAGGTCTCGTCAGTATATCCTCCTCACGTGAAATGCTCTGATCTTTTTCTAGTGTTGTGTCTTACCTCTTAATTTTCCTTACATGCAGGTGCCTATGGTCTGAAGCCTGCAATAAATGATGTTACCAAACTCGTTGAAGATTTGTCTTTGAAAAATCTTCTCGAAGGCTCTTATGAGTGTCCTTCTCTGGGCAAAGACAAGATGAAGAAATTGGAGAATACTAACGACATTTTATTGAGTGTAGTCAAAAATGTTTGGTCCATTCTACCAACAAAGAGGCCTGTTCAATCACAAAGCTCTACTGAATTAGACACTTGTCTCAGCAGAACTCTGGGTTCACCACCCAGCTCTATCTCTGCTACACTACTAAATGGTGAAAACATTGATAACGCAAATGCCCTGGATGGAGATCTATCCTCATCTTCCAAGGTAGATTTCTTAATGAAACATTTAGAAGTTTCATATATATTCTGATTTGACCTGTAAGCAAGTATACATGACTTTTTGTTGCTTTAACTGAAAAATGATACACTCTTTGATTTCTCAGGATCATTGCATCAACTCTGAAATTCCTTCCACTCCACTTAGTTTTCCATTATGCGACGCTGTAGATGTATTGAAACGATTAGGCCTTCCTCCGTCGAAAGATTTAGACTCTCTGCTCCAAGATGCATCAAAACCTTCTCAGAACTCTAAGAACAACTTGGACCAGCAGCGTTCAGCTAAACAACTACCTCCTCGTAGTGGATTGCCACATTTCCCTTGGTCGCAGGCCTTTAGTGGGAGCTCTAGAACCAACTCAGAAGCAGCAAAGCTTGTAACCGGCAAGACACTTTGTCAAGGACGATGGCTAAGAATAGCCAACACTACTATGAGTTCTCCAGAGGGTATAACCGATAATTTCGCAAATCTGGGATCACTCACTTTCAACCAAAACTTAGTCCCTCCAGTACTGAAGCAGACTATTGCTGGAATTAAGACCTCTCAAACAAAATTCGCTAACATCACTTCGTGCCAGTGCACAGGAGCATCTGTTTCTACCCTTCAAAAAGCTTCCTTTGTTCCTAAAGGTAAGAACCTGTTATTGTTTTTTTGCCCCCTCTTTATACTCTTAACTAAAAATATATAATAGCAATTTATCTCTCATCAAATGCAGAACCAGAGGGATCCCCAGATGTTCAAGATGATGGTATGTTTTCACAAATGCGATTTACTGAATTTCTCTTTACCTTAAATTTTATCAAAAATCCTCAGATGGTGATGATATGTTGTGTACAGCTCTTTCCTGTCCACTGCTATTAGAAGCTGCTCGAACGCTCTGTGACATTGCAGTCCAGTCCGCAAATCACATCAACCCAAACGGAATCCTCAGATGGCCAAAGAAGCTCTCTCAGAAATCCATGAAAGCCCGCAAATCCAAACTAATCGAAAAGCCTCTGGAAAGGCACGGGACAACTGTTTCATCCTTAGATCTTAACTCAAGCAACAACAACAATAACAAGAACCACGTGAGAAAAGATTCAGCAGCAGAGCATAATCATCATCATCATCATCATCATTTTCCTAAGCCTTCAAAGAGACTGAAACTAT